ACGGAATATTGCTGAAATGCTTTTTAAGGAACGACTACACTCGACAGCTGCCTGCTGCTGCGTTCATGCTCGTAATACTCAATAATTTTCCTCGCGATTAAGTCATTTAAAAAACTAACTCGAATCTTCACGGCTATGTTTTTTTTACACATTAAAAACGAAAATAAGATACACCTACGAGTGATATATATTCGTATTTGTAAGGATTCTAAGTAAGTAAGTACTACATATAAAAATATAAGTATATGTACATATGTGTGTGTATGTTTATCTACTACGTGTAATATGCGTTACAAATGGAAGCTAAAAGAAGAAATGGCAAGGTCGTTAAAGGCGATTGATCTTAAAGATCATAAGGTCTCACGAAAAGTAAATCTTAAAATCTAAGGTAAGAATCGTTACATCGAAAATATCGATAGTTATAGTCGATGTAAACGGCATATCCGTTACGATATAACCGTTACATACTTACAAGACTTATCGAGACAAAAGCAAAAGGCACTTTAATCCACAGGGAGTCGACGACCGTTAAAGTCGCACTAATGCGATTAAAGTATGGCCGTCCGATGTATTATGCACGTTGGTAAGTTACTTTCTGGATATAAAAAAAAAAAAATAAATATTTAAAAAATGACAACTACTAATATCATTTAAAAAATGTATACATATATAAAATAAATAAGTATAATAAGAGATTGAGATTGATAAGAAGATACACAAGGATATTTTTAAAGAATTCTTATATATCTCGTTCGTTCATTCACTCACTCACTCACTCACTTGCACGTATATACCCCGCAAACTTCGAGCAAGGAATGATGCCGTTCAAAGGCGTTACGGCAACCTGCTCCTATCGTCATCGTCAACGCGCGAGCGTACTCTTCTCAACACGGTAGAAAAGGAAACGCGTTCGACACATTTTTCGAACGCAGACACCAACACTGTTCTTTTAAGCGTACCGTTAACGTCATCACGCGCAATTTTATGCTACTCGACAAATGCAACCAAATCTAAATAGTACATATATTTTTATATATATGAATGGATACAACTATATGTATATTATAATACTAAAAGCAAGAGATATTTCAATGAATCTAGAATTGTAATATTTTATAAACATTTGGTAAATTTTTATCTATCTTTTTATCGCGAGATATTAAAAATAAACGACTGACAATTTGTTTTCTTTTGGAAAATTTGGAACATTTCTACGTGGTTAATATATATATTTCTATATACATGTGTATGAACGTATGATGCGTGTACATATGTATCGTTGTCGTTGTGTCATCGATCAAACTCCAAATCGACAAGTTTTTCTAACGAGTTTGACCGGCTTTTTCATCGTTTCAATCGTGTTTGACGTGATTACGAAATTAAATTATTTTTCTAGTAAAAAAAGAATAAAAAGAAGAAAAAAAGAAAAGGGGGAAAAAATCTGACGTAACAAACGCTGCATTTATACTTTATCCGATTTCTTCAAAGGAAAGATTCGCGGAAGTGGAAATATTTACTTTCTTTTTTTTTATTTTTTACTTACGACGCTTGCATTTAAATTACAATCTTAATGAGGTTCTTAACGAATTCAAAGCCTTAACACACTTTATAACCCAAAAGTTGTAATATTATTTATACTAGTACTTTTAATTTTATTAGGTTTTTCTAATTATATTTTTTTAATTCTGATGAAACTGTTTAAAAATTCAAAGTTTATCGCTATAAAACGAATTTTTGTGCATATTTTTTCCAAAACAACTTATATACCGTGAAAATGTACTATATCCAAATTTTAAATGTTACCTTGATAAAATTATCAATGAATTCAATAATTCACCCTCTATAACCCAAATTTTTGTGTGTGTCTGGAAAAAAGAATTATAATACAATGAAGGTCAAAATTATTTGATAATCTTATAAAATGATTAAAAATTGACTTTAATGAGTGTTTTATTCAATTTTTCTTTAGTATTTCTATAAGAAATCAATTGTTTGTTCAATAAATAAATAATTATATTTACATCTTAATATGTCATATATGAAAAGAAATTTCATTTATGTAAAACGTGTTTTCAATACACCGATTACATCATCAAACTTTCATGTGTACTGATTTTTGTCTCTGAATATCTTTTAAAGGCTTAATTTAATCGCCAAAACATAAGACACCATTTTTATAGAGCAGTTAATTTCCTACAAAAATTTGTATTGCGCATTTTATAATAGTAATTTATAGTTGAGTTATAAAATTCATAAAACAAAATGAAATTAGTCTTAAAATAATCAAATTGAAATCTTTAATATCATTCAAATGGTGAGGTTTACGGAAAAAATATAAGATACCTTTTTTGTAGAGCATTAAATTTTCTACAAAATTCTTCCAGAACATTTTTCTGTACAATCAATTAATAATGAAGTATGAATTTTATTCTATACTGAGAAAAAAATAAAAAAACTGCGATGCGGAGGATCTTTCTATTAAAATTAAGAGCTCATATTTGGTGAGAATTTTGTTAAGGTGTCTAGCAACCCATTTTTCCGTGGCACTTGTAAAAAAAAAGAATAATTAATTTTTTTGACCCACCCTTATATATATAATTTTGATTAAAAATATTAGTAAAAGATTATTTTTCCATAATTTTTAATATAAATATTTTTTAAAATATTTACATTACTTTATTTAAATTTTTATATTGTAAAATACAGTTTTGGAATTTAAATTGATTTATAATAAAAAAATTTAATAATAATAATAATAATAATAATAATAATAATAATTACAATAGTTAAATATCTAATTAAAAACCCCATTTAATTACTATCAAAAAAGATATACTATAAAACAAAAACATTAAATAAAATATTAAATAAAACAATACCTTTTACAAATTTACAGAAAATATTATAAAAAAATGTAATCTAATAATTTTCTCTGCCATCGTATATCTATGCTTTTAATCGATCAAAGATAAAAAAGAAAAAGAATGATACAATATTACTCACTAATTAGACCTGTAATAAGAAAAAAACAATTCCTCGAGGATCGATCTTGCACCTGTTCCTATCTCACGAACCTTCTATACAAGAAAATTAATTTAACTTGCTTCGATTAAATAATATGTAATAATTATAGAATATTTTTGTACACTCGAGTTAAATAATAAATCCGTTAAACTGTTGTCTAAAATCTAGCATAATATAATTAAACCATTTACTTACGAATTTTATGAATAAATAAGGTACAAACATAAAACAAAATACGGGACACAGGTTATTAGGTCATAATAATAGCATCATAACTAGTCGAAAAATAAAAATAATTTTAAAACTGAAAACGAAATATACGCTTTGGAAGGAAAGTTCTGTTCAAGGTCAAGATTCACATTGCCGAAAGACGGACACAGGCGCGCACGCGAGCTGCATTTACGGAGCCGGCTTTCGATCTGCTCCGAAAAAGAAAAAAAAAAGTAACGATTTCGCGTTTCGTCGATGAAGTTGAACGTATGTATATATGTATAAATAGTATGACGCTACACCTCCGTAAGTTTTCCTTTTTAGGGTACTTGGATAAAATCATAATAAAGTAGCGATCATTGCACGAGAGAATGAAAGATATATAATATGAAATAAATGCGTTTAATAAATATTTTATAAGAAAAATATGTTTCTGAGATAAATCAATTAACTTGGATATAAACAGTAACGATCTAATTGGGTGCTTGTTGTCTTAAGATGATTCTCTTTTTGAATAAAAGAAAAATTAAGGATTATATCGTTGTGGGGTTAAAATGATCGAAAGAAATGTTTGTAAGAACGTAGGAATGATTGGGTAATAAGAAGCGAAAATGTCAATGAATGATTGTAATACGAATAAATCGATTAAAGCAGTTTCTCTAGAAAATATGCAAAATCTATGCGTGCGTGTATAGCTCTTTCTTTCTTAGTCACTCTTTCGAGAGAACGATGATGGTGTCGCGTTTAAAAGGAGTTCGTTTTTAAAAACTCACGTATGCGTGCGAGGTTGGCTTTCCGGACTCCAGTTTTAGCAGACGCGTAGGCTTCCTTGAGCTTCTATTTCGCGATATCAAGGCTGGTCGTGCTTGACTACGTCTCACTTAGTAGAATTTAGCGGCGAGGGTGTGCCCCGAATTTCCATGCGGACCAACGGCATCCGTCAAACGCGTAACGCTGTCGCCATCTTGGCACCGAATGCCGCCAGCGCCGTCAATCGGCCTAACATCGTACTGCGGTATTCTCATGCGCCGCGCTCGTGCGTAGCACGAGATAAACTAGTGCGTTTTTCGAATTCCTCCTTCGTCGGTAATTAAAATTGAGAATACGAAGAAAGAATCATAACGGGTACTAACTATCGCATAATACATCCCTGACTTCGATCCGGTCAATGTTTTCAACTCCAATAATATCTTGACGGACATGTTATATGATAGTAGAAGACTGTGCGATACGGATGGAAGTCTGTTAATAGTTAATTTGGAATATTATTACGCTTTGTGCTTCAGTGAGTTTGTATTTTTTTAATTATTTACTAATTCAATGAATCAAACCTATCTTTCAATCTTATTATTAAAATTATTGTTATTTATTGAATCTTACGATTGATTAATTTTCTTGCAGAATACATGAATTAACCGACCACGTGGGCCATTTAAAAACTAGCGTATCCTAACAGTATGCTTTTAAGAAAACAAGATTAGGAAAGATTTTTCTAGAAAATTTTATAAGAATTGACACGAATTGCGTTCACACTATTTATGCAAATGAGCTAGTGAAAAAATAGAAAAAATATATAACTAAGTTAAAATAAATATTATATTACATTTTTCTTATATGTAATAATATTTCTTTTTTAACCTTAATTTTAAATATTTCTTTTCTTTCTCTTTTTTCTTCTAACCTTATTTTTAAATATTTTAAGAAAATTTATCAGCATATACCATTTAAGAAGAAAAAAAAATACTATTAGTTTATATTAAAAGTAATGCATTGATTAGAAATTATTACTTTTATAAAAAAAATTAACAGATTATTATAGTTAATTTAAATTACTGAAACATGTCGATAAACGATTCAATGAGTGATGAACTTAGCTGGAAGAAACCGAAGAATAGCATTATTTCAGATCATCTTGAAAATGAAATATTTAAGACCTTAGTTACAAATAACTGGTGCAATTATAAGGAAATTAAGACAGATCAATTTGAAATTATAACAAAACCTTTTAGAGTTTGTAAAATATCTAATTTTCTGGATAATAAACATTTTCTAAAGAAACTCAAAAGTGAAATAGAGGAGATCACATATCAAAGAAAGTTTACCGACCTACATCATTTTGAACAATCAAATGACCTTAAATCTGTGACCAAATATAATATAAAAGTTTTATATTCAACTTTCCAAAAAGAAATGACTAAGTGGATGAAACACGTTACAAAAATTGAACTAAATAATAAAATCTCAATGTCAAGTTCAGTTTACAGTGATGCAGATTACTTGCTTTGCCACGATGATAATATGGGTGAAAGAAAAATAGCTTATATATTGTATCTTTCATCGAAATGGCTTCCTGAATATGGAGGAACCTTGGATCTTTTCGATACAGATGAAAATGGACTTCCTCGGAACGTAGTACGATCTCTGCTACCAGAGTTTAATTCACTTGTCTTTTTTGAAGTTACTGACAACTCTTTCCATCAAGTAGCAGAAGTGCTTACCTCAGAAAAAACTCGTTCGTCCATTAATGGCTGGTTCGAGGGTCCAATAACTATTCCAGAGAAAAATAGACCGCTAAGACCTGTATTACCATGTAAATATATTGAACCAATGGATATGGAAATTAACTTACAGTCATGGATAAACTATTTGTATATAGAAAAAACACAAATTAAATCTATCCAGAAGATGATAGAAAAACAGTCTTATTTATTAATTGTCAAATTTTTCTTAGACAATGTATATGATAAGCTTTCAAAAGAAATTGTCTCTGAAAACATTTGTTGGAAAAAACTTGGCCCTGCCGATGAACGTAACTATGAAATAGCTGATGAAACGACTCTGCCAAGATTTTTGAAGAATTTTTATGATATGTTTAAATCTAAGGCCTTCTTTAATCTTCTTAAAAGTTATACAGAATTGGACCTTGTTTCAATGGAACCAAATATGAAACCAAAAATGACCATTGAATTGCAAAGATGGACGCAAGGTTGTTATACATTAATAGTCGATAAATCCAATAACCAACAAAATGTAAAAGATATTGAAATGCAGAAAACAAAGTCTGATGTGCTTAATATAGCTTTACAAGAAAGTAAGAAAATATTTTCATCGGAATCTTCTGGTACTGACAGTAAAGAAACTAATAGTAGCAAAGAAATCAATGGTAGCAAATATTTTACAATTAGTAATAAAAGTAAGAAAAATTTATCTAAATCAGGAAGCAGCGAAAATTCCGAATCTACAAGTTACAGTACTATCGGTACAAATATAGGAAAGAGACATGGTACACCTTTAGCTAATAATGAATGTGAGGAGGAATCAGAAGTGAAAAGAAATAAAATATCTAAGGAAGTTGAACCAGATATGAAATGGCGAGATCCTGCATTAAGATCAGACATTTCTCGTTATACTGCTACTAGTGATATCTCGTCTAAAATAGTGAACATTGATGATGTTTATTATCATTCGAATGGTCACTACTCGAGGGAAATGGAAGAAAAACGAGAATATGATGAATATGAAGAAGAAGAAGAAGATAATGAACATACAAAAGAAGAAGAAGAAGATGAAATGAATATTGAAATTGAGAATGGAGATGAAGTTGAAGATGAAGATGAAGATGAAGATGAAGATGGAAACGAAGACGGAAACAAAGAAGGTTTTTTGGATGTAATCCTCCAATTTCATACAAAAAATATGCATACGACGAATACAATAGATTATATTAAACCTAATAAGAAACACGGTTTGTGTATTCAAATACCTGCGGGCGACAATAATTTATCTTTCGTTTATAGAACTGGAAATGTTACTCGTGTTCACAAATATGTTAATCATTATTTTAATGGTTATTTCTATAATTTAATATGTACATATACTGAATAGTATTATCGCGTTGAGATGCGCAAATTTTTTAACGGCTGTTATACTTTGATACTTTGTTTAAATACAAACATTATTTTTTCGAAAAAGATAAGTATAATGTATTTCAATTAACAGATGATCAATCAATGCTCGAGATCACATAAAAGATTTTAAAAAATTGATCTTTAAAAAGAAATATTAAAATAAAAATTAACAGAATTATTAAAATAAAATTAACAAAATTTATCTGAGCATATAATATTTTTTGCATTTTTTCTTTTTGTAAATTTTTATACTTTACATTCTCCTTTTTACATTATGTAACAATTTAGCCAAGGACAGTCATTATCCTAACGGAATGTCCTTAAACACAATGACAGTATTTGTCATATGGCACGAGTCATTTAGCGAACACATCTAAGGTGAAAATTAAGATCACAATGCAGGGAAACATTCGCAATTATTTATTAAGTGCAGCATATACATAATCTAATAGAGAGTAACATATACAAAGTGGTGAAGGTATTCGTTTCGGAAAGAGATCATGCATAATGTGAATGGAAAGGTGCATAGTATGATATAAGTGTTTGTGTATGCATATGTACGTGAATGTTAGAAAGAAAAGTTTCCTACCTTATATATCAACCATTGTTAATTAATATTTATCGAGCAATCATGAACTTTCTATTGGCTAATGCAAAATTTAGATTGAGACTATTAGAACGAACGATTATCGAAACTTTTCTTCCATACTTTGAGAGATGAAACGAGCTGTAAGAGTTGAAGAAAAAAAAGAGAAAATATAGGAAAGGAGAAAAGAATTAAATCGTTACTCTTGTTACAAAAAAAATAAAAGATAGGTGAGGATCTAGTAAGCTATAAAAAAAAATGTCATTAATTCATTTTCAATTTCTATACAAACCCTTGTTATATAATAGGAAACGAAATCGAGGAATTCTGCATATACATACATATTCATATGTACATCACATATGATCTTTGTTTGTTCATCATATGATGTTATTTTAATTTGACAATAATCAAATAAATTAGATGATTCATTTGCAAAAGTTTAAATCGCTATAAAGGGCTTGGGGTATCGGGGGTGGGGGTGGGGTTATTGAAAGAAAAACAAAAAATGAAAAAGCTTACGCTGTATGGATGTAGTCGTTACGATGGATGTTGTTGGATTCCTGTACTTCGAAGGTCGGAGGATGTGGCACTATTTGATCTTCGTTATCGTTCGTAGATTTTGTAATAACCTGATACGTATAAAGAGATTGCAATTTTAAAATGATATATGTAATAAATCATATAATACAATTACATATATATATATGTATATGTATATATGCGATATTATCGCGATGAAAGAAAAAAGAATAAAAAACTAAAATAAATCTAATAGATTTGAAAACTATTCAATGAGAAACGCGATCACAGATTAATAAAATGTAGGTGTTAAACAAAAATCGTATATTTTCTGACGCATTATCTTTTTCATCTTACGTTGATTAAAAGTATAAGAAGAAAAACGGAAATCATTAATGGCCACACCTTAGATAATGTTTCGTTACGAATGGTTTCTCATTGAGAGAGTAATCCGCCTTAAAAGTGACGTCAACATTGTTGTTACTAATTTAAGCTCGATCGATCTTTAATAATGTGTAAGAAAAAAATTCTGTTCTTTCCTCTTTCATTTATATTAGCCGTAATAATAATAATAGTAATAATAATCATTTTCAAAGCTCAATTACTTCGATCGTATTTTGTCTCATGATACGATCGACATTGTTAAGGACTACCTGAGAAGTTGAAGCGATTCCAGCCATTCGTTTTCTCAACTCGTTCAACTGTAATTCCTGTTGAAAGGTCAAGTCACTCTCTTGGGACTCTTCTCGTTTGGAGGCATCGATCGATTCCGTAGAATATTCAACTTGGACCCATGGACATATAGTCGGCGACGACTGCAAGGATCCTTTGCTTCCGGGTCGTGAAAGACGAGGTGAGAGTCGCCTAAGTAACGATACGAGTTTTGATCTAAAAACAAAAAATAATACATTTTCTTTTTTATTTTCTCTAAATGAGATGACATCTGGGTAAGTTATATTATTATAATATAATAATAGTAGCATATATATATTACATCCAATAAAAAAATATATATACTATGTATAATAGTAGGTATACGTATTACTACATCTAATCAATATAAAAGAAAAAACATTATATATATATAAAAGTAGGAATCGACCTACTTGGTACTTGGTGTTTGAATATGATCAGAACCGATCGGAGTATTGGCAGAAAGTTGTTCTGCACTACGAGTGGCATCTCGCCAATGAAGCTTGTTGGAACTGAAAGTGACAGATCTTCCAACTCTCCAGTCTAAGCTACCGCTTTGTCTAGATTGCAATCCTAAAATGGAACAAAGTAGCTAGTCGATACAATTAGATTTTGTTTTTATTTTTTTTTTCTTCAATTATAACTAGTTCAAACTATATATTTCTTTTTAAAGAGAAAGAGAGAGAGAGAGAGAAATAATATCACCTTGTTCGTTCGCACTCTGTCCTAATCTCCAATCTAATGAATTACTATTTCTATTCACGCTATAAATGTTATCACAGGATTTTGTTGCAAGATACGTCGCGTGATGACGACGTCTCAGCAGTCTCGATACTGGTCCCAAATTTCTAAAACAAAAGATAAAAACAAAATAAAACAAAAATTAAGAGAAAGGAAAATGATAAACCATTTGCATACAATTATTCGATCTTTTTCTTCGATTATTTCGTTTCTTTTTGTTTCAAAGATACAACAGATTGTATTTTTATTAATTTTTTGAAAAATAATTGTATCCTTCTGCTCGGTTAATTTCTTTTTTGTCGAACGTATCTACCCTCAGAGTTCTTTTTATCGTTTTTTTTTTATTGAGATCTATAATTTTGGGAATACTTTGTAAATTTAGATACACATTTTTATTTAGGAAAGATTTAAAAATAAGACGAATTAAATATAGTCGTTTAATTAAGAAATGATACGGTTGCTTCGATCGTTTATTTCGGCGTTTATTCACGAACAGTATGAAAACCTACCCCAACAACACACGGACCTTTTTCGAAGCTGCCTGAGGTACATATACATATACTTCTCTTGTCGATAGGCCTCTTAACTTTAACCATAGCAACGCCACGTGTAGCAAGTATATTTTATCTTCTTTAGTTTTTTTGCATGACGTTCTGACGGAACCAAGAACACAGCTTTTCCTAGAATTAATGTAGGTCGACTTTCGTTCGTTCCGCTCGTCCGACTAGCAAAAATTGGAAATTTCAACGAACGAATAGGAATCCTCTTTCGCTAATCTTTTATTATTAATTTATTTTTTTTCTTTTTCTTTCTTTTTCTTCTCTTTTCGTTATATATTTATTATTACACTCGTGGATATAAATTATTTTAAAGGAACTCTATTACAAAAAGGAATATTTCTATTTCGTTAAATTAATCCTACGAATATTTGCACATAATGAAATATAATAGAAAAAAAAATAATGATTAATCTTATGTCGAGTTTAAAACTAGATGTTACGTTGCAACATGCAATGGCATTCCATTAAGTTGTGGCACGTAATAATGAATTCTTTTGTATCTCTGTTCTTAAAAGGTCATGTAAAAAAAAGTATCAAATGGGCATTATCGATTACATAAAGTTTGATATTCCATTGAAAAAGCAAAGGTTAATTGATAACGATGTAACAAATTTTAAAATAATTTTACACAAACATTTCAATTTTGTCTTATTTTTTTATCGTGGTTATATGCTTAAATTGTTAAAGGTAAATTAATTGCATCTCTTTATATCAATATTTAAATACATAAACAATTAAATACATAATCTTTACCCGATAAAATGATAAGCGAATAAAAACAATGAATTTATTACAAGATGTATATATATTATACATACGTAAAACTTATTAGACTATGTGCACACATATATATATGCACAAAGTTTCCGTAATGAATAGTAAGAAATTTTACTGTGTCACAATTTGTAATTCTAACTAGACGCTTTCGAAATAATAAACATAAGACTTCAACTGATCGTCGAGAATTTAATTCGGCCATTTTAATGGGCGAAATTTATTACTATATCGTACGCGCGTTACTAATTCGACCTGAATTCCTTTTGAAATCCGTGATATTCGTGGGACCAAAAACAACAACGAAAAGAAAAAAAGAAAGAGGGGGAAAATAATTCGATGCTAATTTATAGGAAATAATAATAACAAGCATTCAAAGGTATAACTTACTTTTTAAATTTTCTCGTGTATTCGATGGGCGGTTTGCTATCGCAAACGACGACTGGTTTCGTTTCCGGTTCCGGACAATAAATTCCAACTCTGACGTGACTATAGGCAGCACGAAGTTGCACCCCATCCAAGGGACGAAAGTTTCGCCGTTCAATGGATGAGACACGTACGATTTCGATCTTCGGTCTTGCTTCGGTACTTTTCTTTTCCATTATAATCCACGATTCTCATAACAACAATAATTCACAATAAATCAAAGAAGATATATAGAATAGAAGAGGGAGGAATGAAAGGAGGGAGGGAGGAGTAATAAATCGAGTTAAACTCGGATTTGGTAAACGAAAATTATTGCCAATCGTATTTTGACCTCTTCTTATTTTTCTTTTTTTCTCCCTTCTTCCTTATTCTCCTTCCGTTAAACTTTCTTTTCTAACGAAAGATCTCGACTATGTTATATATAATATATATATGTATATGTGTTATACACGTGTATATTATGTACTCGAAAGTAGTGGTTCTTGGCACTCGCGTATATCACGAAGGTGTTTTGTAGAGTTGGCACGTTGCGAACAAATTTAAAAGCCTTGAAAACCGCTATTCTTTCCTTCTCCTTCTTCTCCTTCTTCTTCTTCTTCTTCTCTGTTCTTCTTCTTCTTCTTCTCTGTTCTTCTTCTTCTTCTTCTTCTCTGTTCTTCTTCTTCTTCTTCTTCTTCTTCTTCTTCTCTGTTCTTCTTCTTCTTCTTCTTCTTCTTCTTATCGTTCTCACCTAAAAAGATAGGTAGTAACGTTCCTTTTCTTCTCCTTCTTCTTTCTTTACATTCTGCTTCTTTTTCTATTATTTTCCCACCCTTTATTATTTCTACTTTAACTGCTTTTCTTTCTCTTTCTTTGTGTCGTGTAAGAAAAAATGTGCGGGTCACGTTCATTCATCCAGGGGGACAACTTGTCGTCATAATTATCTTGTAGCGTGATCTTGTTTGACGTTCACCACGTCGTCATCAACGCGCACGCGCTCTCGATCCCATACATCATTATTATTATTATTATTATTATCTATCTTTTTCTTTTTTCAATATAATAAATGACGTTATGGTATATTAAATGGAAGAAAGAAACAAAAAATGTGACACTTTGTTCGCAAATGATTGTTATTATATCTCTCGTAAAATTTATTTTCTTCGTATAATTTTTGCTGTATGTGTAGGTAATTTTTTAGAACGTAATATATATCTTCCAATGTGAGATTCAAAAGGATTAGCTTTTTCTTTTTTTTTTTTCAAACGTTCGTTCTAACCGTTCTACTTTTTTTTAATCAATCTCTCTTATCGTAAACGTAAGTAGACTTTGACGAGTGATTAACGTGTCTTTGGTGTATCGTAAAAGAACATGTTTAACTCGTATATACATTCTTATCATTTTCCTTCTTCCGTATTATACAGATAACAACACTTTTTCGCACTAACACGATAATCGTATAACACGAAAGATCGATGACACTTTTCGATCAATGATTTATCATTATTATTATTATTATTATTATTATTATTATTATTATTATTATTATTATTATTATTATTCGATCTTTCACGAAAAACGAAAAGATCTTTTTCCGCGTTCTTCTTCTCTTTCATTTTCTGCATATGAGCAAATTTATTTTCGTTATATAGACAAATACGATGACGATATAGGTTGAAGGTTAAATTCTCGAAATAGAAAATAAGATGTGATGACGGGTATTATATATATACTATATATATTTTATATTATTATTTTATATTTATAAATATTTATTATATATATCGATGTATTTTATATTATCGAAAGAAACAAAAAATTAATAGTTTTGTTTACATCAATAATATTTCCATTATTTTCACATAGTTCTCATTCTTCTCTCATTTATTTTTTTTTTCTCTGTCTCGTCATTTAATGCGTCGTCTGCGAGATCGAAAGATCGTAATTAGTGGGAGTGGTCCCTGAAGAGAGCTCGATGGTTTAATTAAATTACTCTAAGAGAGTGAGTGAGAAAGGGAAAGAGAGCAAAAGAAGATGGTTATCATCGTACACTTGTCGTACTCGAGTTTGAAGAAAGAGATTCGAATGAATGAGAAAATGTCATGGCTAAAAGATAAAGGGTTGAAGAAATGTTTCATTAATTCGTATTGAAATATAATATTATTTTCTTTTCGATACTAATCGTTCGATATCTTTTTTTTATATCATGTATTATATAGGTGCAAAATAAATCGCGAATATAATTATTCGATAGGATTTATTTCGAAAAAAAAAAATAAAAAAAAAATAAAAATAAAATAAGTTCCTCTTTTTTCTTTACGTTGTCCTGTGTAACAGAAAAGAATAGGAAGAAAAGGAAGGAAAGAACGCTTTCTTTCTTATCTCCGGGCTACTCGATATTCCGTTTTATATTTCGAGAGATGGGTCGATACTTCTCTCCGTGACAAGTAACACGGCAAAAGACAATCTAGACACAACGAGCGCATATTGGTAACTCTATATTTATAACGTCCCGCAAGTACTTGGAATGTTCTCGTTTTTATTATTTTGTTGTTGTTAAATAATCCTTAAGAAGAAAATCCGCGATCCCCTTTCAGGCAGTTTGTAGCAGCAGCAAAAAATGGTAATTTCGCATAAGAATATTCTCACTAGGGAATTTTAATGATCTAATGAAATGTGTTAAGTAACGAGACGAGCACGAAATAACTTGCCCTTCCTGTATGCATCTGCGTGCGTCGCGTATGTGCGTGTGTGTGTGCATGCTGAAAAAGAAGCAAAGATTTATAACTTATATTTTTTCATCGTCGTTGTCATCATCATCGTTATCGTCATCATAATCGTCATATATATAATACGTTTGTAGTTTTTAGTTACTTGTTTTACTATGCTAAACCACCTATACTGTTTAAACCGTGTGCACGCATCTTCTTCTCCACTTAGCTCTCTCTCTCCCTCTTTCTCTCTTTTTATGGTATCACACGTCGTTGCCTTTTTGGAACGGCTGAGGAAAATGAGTAATTAAAGCGTTTCTGCTTTACTTACAAGTATATACGCGAATACCTTTTCTATATATAATAAGTAAATAAATAAATAAATAAATATATATATATATATATATATATATATATATANATATATATATATATATATATATATATATATACATATATATTATAATATTTTCTTTTCGTGGATACGGTTTAGTGAGTCACCATCAAGTAGATTTCGAAATGAAAAACTTGTCTATCGATGTAACAGTTTATCCTTGAGCTTCGTAATATATATATTCTATCGTTTTACGATAGAATTTGACGATTTTGGTGCAATAAATTTGTTTTCGATTGAAAAAAAAATTCGGAGCGGATAATATAAAGAAGAAAAATCAAGGCCGATTATATAGGCCGGGTTATAAATATTATAAATACGGTTTGTGTGTGTGTGTGAAATAGTGCACAAGGGAGACACTGCATTTTTACCTATAAAAGCAAGTTTGACACATCAAACGCGGCACGCGATATGACGAATGATAAAAACCTGAAAATAAAACATCACGGCGTATTCACTGATGCTCAACGAACACGCTTTCCTAAGCCTTGCCTACTATTGTGTTTGCATGCGTCGCGATGTTAAACGCATACGCTCCGATGCACTTCTGTTATAATTCATACTCTCTTTTTCCTTCTTGTTTTTTCTTTTTTTTCCTTTTTTTTCCTTTTTATATTTTGCTTCTCTTTCGTCTCTAAATCTATCGGTGAATATAACGGAGTGAAAGAATACGAGGAGCCGCGTAAGCTCTTTTTTCTTTTGTTTTATTCTCGCGAAATCGTAATTTGTTATCGAAAACGATGACGATGTATTAACAAAAAAACTAATTGATCCTAAACTTTATCGTATCGAACAAACTATCGTAAAAATAATATTATACGATGATGTAGATTGATTTTTTATGTAGTTTAAATTACCCATATTAATATAACGACGAAGTGTTGTTAACAACGTTAATGGCGTTTTAAAAAATGGGCGGGAAAAATGTTTGAAAAGCACGTATAAATAATTATTAGAAAGAAACAAAAATGGAAAGCACGTATAGATGATATTAGAAAAAAGAAAAAGAGAGGGAAAGGTTTGTAATAAAACGGTCGATTAGTTAACAATTCCCCTTTCTCTTTCTCTTTCTTTCTTCATGAATATTAGGCGGGAGGTTTTTCGCGCGTGCTCGAAGCGTTTGTTCTGTTGGGTAGCCGATGTGGATGATGAACCGTAGTAGTACTGTAAGCGTTAAGCAGCGATAGATGTATATATATATATATATATATATATATATACAACATACAAATTACCTATCCATATGTATATATATACAATAAAGTAATTTGTAATTTAAAAAAAAAAGCGGTTAAAGGAGAGTTAACGTGGTCAACGTATTGTCAATGTTTATCATTGTTTTTTGTTACATTTCTATATCAAATAATATCCACGTATCAAAATTATTTTTCTTTTTACCTCAAAGAAGTATTAATCATTTGTAAAAAAATATTGTTAGAAAAATGAGGACGAACAAAACGAACTAGACGAACGTTGTCCTCCGAGCTCGGAATATACGTACTACTTTAAAATAGCAACGACACACTTCGCGGGTTCCCAACGAGACATCGTCAAGGAAATTCTTCGTAGTTTGGTGCTGGTTCTGGTTCTGGTACTGATACTGATATTGGTTGGTACTATTGCTGCTACTGCTGCTGTTGTTTTGTTTCTCCTATTGGTGGTTTCTATCTTTTTCTATTTTCTTATTCTTATTATTATTATTCTTTTAACTCTTTTTTTGGTTTTCAATCGTCGTTGGATTGTTGGTTGGTAGCTGTTGGTTGTGTCGTGTGTTGTGTTAGAAAAGATGCGCGTGCGACCGAGACAGGTGCGGTCGCGGAGGGTAGCCACACGAGTTTATGAAGGGCGTCTTCATAGATTATTCGAATGTTAACGAAAACAAATCTATGTATATTTATATATAGTATATATAATATGTGTCTTCTTTTGCACGCGACAGAACACGAACGTGAACCGAACTGGACGAGATGAACGAGACGCCAGAGTAACTGATACCTCCTCTTCCTCTTCCTTCTCCTCCTTCCTCTCTTCTTTCTTTACTCCTTCTCCTCCTTCTTTCCCTCCTCCTCCTTTACCACCATTACCACCACCTCTTCCTTTTCTTCTTTCCTCTTTTTCTTTTTCTTTCTCGCTTCCGTGTATTCTCGGAACCGCCGCCACGCTCAAATCTCTTCCGCTAGCGCGTTCTTCCTTTTTAAAATCATCCTCCCTCTTCCGCCCCTACCTTCTTCCTTTTTTCCTTTCTCTATTTATAAAGAATCACGATCGCAATGGGATGATGATGATGAAGATAGTGGTAATAGTGCGATGGTGTGAGATGCTGATAATGGTGGTGGTAGTGGCTAGTCCAATTTTATGAGCATCTTTTAAAACCCCCGAATTTTTTCGTGACAAAACAGGTAAAACAAAGATATATATACAATACGTCGATGAAAAACAAGATTAAAAGAGGGAAGAATTGGTCGGCGTTTAATAAGTGTGAAATTGTGAACAACGAGAGGAAAAATTTGAAAAAACTTGATCCTATTTTTTTTTTTGTTTTCGTTAGAAAAGAGTTAAATATAAGAAAATATACAAATAGCAGCAGCCGGCTTTTTTCCCGGGTCCTTGTCTCGTCTCTCCTCTCTTCGATCCGAGACGACCACCCGCGCGGGATGCTGTCGACTACACACTGCGTCGTGTTCGAGAAACAGAGAGAGTAAGAGAGAGATGCTATACTATCGCTTTAGTAGACGTCCTCTTCATTTCTCCCAACCCCAACTCCCCCACCCCCTTCTCCTGGTCTCCCTTATCCATCTCCCACATCCCCTGACATCCCCTCTTCCCAACCTGCCGTCGGAACCACCACCACCCCTACCCCACCTCGTCACCCTTCCTAGACACACTACCGTGACTCTACTCTCAACTCTCGGACATGCGCGGGAATCCACGCTCAACATCAATCTTCTCTTTTTTTCTCTTTTTTCATTTTTTTTTTCTTTTCTTTTGCCATCTGTACTCGCCACGTCGTCTCGTACTCTCCTTTCTTTATCTTTTTTTTGTTTTTGTGCGTCTCTCTAACTTCTCTCTTTCTCGTGTTTTCATATCGTTGCATCTTTGACGATTATACAGTCGAAATTATGAGAGGGTGTTTTTTCGCGCTTTTGTGTCACCCAATTTTGTCATATTGATATATATAATATGAAGATAATTTTTACTTTTTTTTTTTTAATTCAAAATGAGGATTATTTAAAATAATCTTATTGTAGAAATAATAGATAATTATTAAGCATAAATTTTTAATCAAATTGTATGTATACTTGATTGGTATTTAATTTTTATCCGACAAAGTGTAATACCTAATGACTAATCAAATTGAGAAAAATAAATAGAGATATATCCTTTTTTTCCAATTTTAAAAAAAACTTTGTAATTATATTAATTAAAGAAAACTTAGAAAATATCGACCTCCGTAGGAATAATAATTTTTTAATAGAATATTTTTAAGAAAAATATCATGAGATAAGTAATAATTCATAAAAATAATAAACATTTGTATTCGTTTAACTAACGATGGCCGTGATTAATAAAAATAAAATCGTCCAAATCTATCGATCATGATTTATTTAATATTTATTTCGTATTTATACACGCCCTTGGCATGCCACATACAATCAATATAATACAGTCCAATGCAGCCAAGGTAGAAGTAAAATACAAAAAATATATATATATATATGCATACATAGATATATATATACATATCCTACGTTGTTATTATTGTTACCACGATGTTATAACGCTGAATATATTATGAATAGTAGCTAATAATATGATACAAAGACGAGTGTTGGATACGGTAGGGCACGTAATTCGGATAGAATGTGGTGCGATTTAACGAATTTTTTTTTCTTTTTCTTTTTCTCTCTTTATTTATTTTCCTACGTGCAACCAGCCCCTGGTTTTTTTCTTCTCTTATTGTTCTTGTTTTTCATCTTCTTCCGCTTTTTTTTTCTTTTCACCGACCTCGTCGAAAAAAGAATTACTCTAAATGTAATTTTTCCCTTTCGACGTATTTTCCCATCGTCAAAAAGAAAAATCAATTTAAAAATCTCCCTTGCGTTTGACGATAATCATTGATAAATCACAGCATTAAATATGTTTCCTCATATAAACGATATACTCTTTGCAAATAACATTATTTATAAGAAAAAGGATAATCGATTTCTGATACTAGAATGTGAAAATATAGAAAGAATAGAATGAAGTAAAATGAAAATAAACAAGAATATATAACCAAAAAATATTCGTTCCTAACTAGGAGAACATCGTATTTTTTAAATTAGAATTTTATATAAATGATACTTTTCAATGATCAATAATTTTTCAAGAATGTAAAGATCGAAAATAGACAAGGGAATAAACCAAAAAGTAAAAAAATGAAAAAGTAATTCCTTAAATTTTCGACGGATCATGTTAATGTTTTAATAATAACCCTTTTGTTTCTTCCTTTTCTGTTTCTTCATGGGAAGCCCGTCAAATTTAACGACGGAAAACGACCGTGTATCACGGGCAAATATTTCGATCGGAATATTATCGAAATACTATCGAAATACTATCGAAATACAATCGAAATAGATCGGTTTCGATAAATATGGTATATATTACAAAATTCTCATGTTATTTGTAATCGTTTATCATTAGTAACGAATTCTAACGATCGTAATTAAGATCGAATGCTAACGATTTTCGACATGAGAATTTCATACATATACACGTACATATACTCACACGCACAGGCACACACACACACAAACACACACACAAACACACACACACACATCTACTAACAAGTTTTTAATTAGATTACAAACGACGGACGCTCGCATTTCGAATTTCGTCGAAAGGAGAGTGATTAAATGATCTATAATTATACATATATCCATTTCCATATTTCAAATGATCATCTACTATCGCGAACGTAATTACGATCGATCAATCAATCAATCAATCAATTAATCGATCGATCGGTCACTATTTCGATTTTTTTTATATTATTTTAAAATTAAAATAAAACACCAGTATATGTGTACTTTACACCAGCAACAAAAAAATGTACAACGATGTCGTTTGTATTCGTACATTATTTTCTTTCTTTTCTATTCCATTGTTTTAAAAATGGGAAGAAGATGATAGAAAGGATAAGATCGTTATGGGGGTAGGGTACCGCTTTGAAACGCTGGTAAACACCGGTAAGCGTGTTTTTGTTATATGGCAGCTTTGCAAGAATAATCGGGTATAGCGACCATCGTAAGAATCAAAACAAATAATCAAAAATAATAATAATAATAATAATAATAATAATAATAATAATAATAATAATAATAATAATATAATAGTAATAAAAATAATGAACCTCTTAATGCACATTTCTGCGCAATATATGCGGACCCTTTATTTGCAGAATTTTACAGCTCCGTAAATCCTTTACGAATATTACAGCTTCAATTTATATCATATTTGATGTTAAATTATTGAGAAACTGAAAAATGTTTTCATTTTTTGTTTTTATGTTTAAGAATAACATATATGTTAATTATTTGGTGAAAAGAAATTGATTCTTTTTTTAATTTTATTTCTAAATTAATAAAGAAAAAAATTGTGCATTAAGGGGTTAATAAAAAAATAAATAACAACATAAAAGCTAATTGAACAGCAAAAACCGATACTAAATTGTAAGAAAAGTAATGCACTATTCGTTAACAACATTATTATTATTATTAACGACAATATATAGATCGGGAGTAAATTCGATGCAAAGAATAAAAATGAAAACTGACCTATTCTGATTTTGTTTTTTCTTCTTTTCGTTTTTATGACTTTCTTTCTCTCTCTTTTATTTTTTTATTTTTTTGTTTTGTTAATTTTTATTTCTTTTTCAATTGTAATTGTTGTTGGTAGGACAAATGGAAAGAGAAAAGAAGTGGTAGAGCGGAGATCGAAGTTTTCACTATCTTATTTCATTTTTATCTCGTGTATCTGTAAAACATTAATAAATAATCTTTAAGAACTATGTAGTATTTTTTTTTATTTTCACGTTTCATTTTTTTTTCTTTTAACCATCCTGTTTGGCGTTGTGAATTATTTTAAACGGTAATCGCAATAAACGAGCGGTAAACTTCTTGAAATTGACGAGACAAATATTCTCTCATCTCGGTTTTTAATTAATATTTTTTTTCTTTTATTTATTTATTTGTTTATTCATTCATTTATTTCTTTTTCTTTCTACTGATTAAACGCTATTACGGTTAATTTTTATTTCGTTTAAATTATTTTATTTCGGATATTAAGATTTATTTACGTAATAGTAATATCTTATTATTATTATGATTTAGTTATTTCCCTTCGATATTTCTCTTGTTTCGCACGTTCTTTCTCTCTCACTCTATCACCCTCTCATAACTTTCCCTTCAAATTATTTTACATTACATAGAAACAATGCAACGATATTATTGCATTTTCAATCTACGCGAAAAGGGAAAACCTTTTTGACGTCGTTGAGTTTAATCATCATTTCACATTTGTTTCTTTCTTTTTTTTTCTTTTTCTATTGTCTTACTCTTTGTAGACATTATTTTTCTTCATTTTTCTCTTTCTCATTTTCTCTCTCACTCTCTCACTCTCTCGCTCTTTCTTTCTTTCTTTCCTTCTTTCTTTCTTTCTTTCTCTCTCTCTCTCTCTCTCTCTCTCTCTCTCTCTCTCTCTTAGGAGAAGAATTTTTCTATATTATATATTTTATAAAATACATTAGTTTACAAACAACGTGGATTAAGAATCGACATTTTGCAAATATTTTCGTCACTCATACTCAAAAAAAAAAATCAATGAACATTCCCCATAGTCTGACAAATTTGTATATATCCCATTAAAGATAAGGCTTTTCTTCCCCCTAAGTTTTTATCTTAACGAATGACAGAATAAGCGAAGATATTAGAAAAAACCTTTTTTTTAGCGATTTCGTTTCATAATTTTTTTTTTTTTCTTAATTTTTCTGCTAATCATTTTTTATTTTACGATTAGGGAAATATCATTGATGAATGCAGGGAAAGAGAGCAACGAATTAATTCGCAATAACGTCAATTAGAACAAGAAGACTATCTTATAATACTACATACATATTTACAATGATTCTCTGATAGTTAATTACCAGAGAAGCTTTTCTTTCTTTCAATTTTTTTTCTTCTTTTCTTTTTTAATTCTATGCCTTAAGAATCCGAAACATGCACTAGCATAGGAAGCGATAGGAAGGCGATTTATTTATTTATTTATTGATTTATTTATTTATTTACTTATCATTCGATAAATGATTTTTTTTCTTTTTCTTTTTTATTTCGGCTCGGGCTAATCGAAGAAATCGGTTTTTCCTCGATGACAAGAACAATACTAATAATAATGTAATAATAATAATAATAATAATAATAATAATAATAATAATAATAATAATAATAATAATAATAATATTAATAATAATACAATACAATATAATATAATAAACTATTAGATTAAATAAATATTTGACGCGAATAAAAATAGTACGGACCTTACTTGTTTGCTTTCGAAATTCAGCGCAAAAGCACGAAAAGTATTTTTCGGATACTCACGCATTGTTCCGAATACTTTTTCAAAATTCTACTTACATAAAAGTAATTTTATGTATATATATATATATATATTTTTTTTTGTAATAATATTTCTTATTCTTTTTAAGTCTTAAACCCCTTGCTAGTGCACGTTTCAAATGCATTTATACAAAAGGCAAGATCCGCGATCAACGAATATCTTTCTTTTTTGTTTTATTTTTTTATTTTCTTCTTTTTTCCTTCTATCCATTGGGACACTTACCGAGCCTGCATACATATAAGTTCTTTAATATTATTCTAGCTGTGTGTGTTGATGCTGCTGCTATCGTATGTAAATTTATATTCGAGCCGAACATGAAGGTCGTAAAACGATATCTTATTTTAAGACAGGTATTATTTCTCTTTCTCTCTTTCTCTCTTTTCGTATCTACGCGTCTTTTCTATCTTACAAGAGGGATCACACTGGATTTTTCATTGATCGTTATATACTAACATTTGGCGCTTGAAATATTACGTAATAACACACATTTAGAAAAGTAAAAGAGACAGAGATTTGTGTTTTATTTCATTTGACGAGACGACAATTAAGGTGTCTTTGGTGTAATTTTCTTTTTTTTTTTGTTACGTTTCCTTTTTCTGTTTTTCTTTATTTTTTTTTTATGGTAACATAACCAAGCACTTGTGTAAGCGTGTTTATCCGACATCGAAAATAATTTATCTAAAAGGTTCATACAATATGCATTTAAAACAAAAAATAAAATAAAAAATAAAAGTTAGTCAATGCTAAGTGCGAGTGTTTTGTCTCTTTTTTACTTATTTTCATTTTCTTTTTCTTTCTCTCTCTCTCTCTCTCTGTCTCTTTATCTCTCTTGTAATTTTTTCCCAGTAAATAAGAATCGTTATTACACGAATAGGAACTATTTCGAAGAATCCTAGGCAACAGGGTAATATCGCTTATATATATATTTTATTAATATGTATAAAAGCGACGATCACCCATTAGATTTAAAAGATGTCGAAAATGTTATATATGTATATATAAATATTTTGTTGAAACTTGATAATAAGTCATAAAACTCTTTTTTTTATTTTATTATTTTTTTTCTCTTTCTTTTTTTCTTCTTTTCTTTTTAAACTAATTCGTTTAGAGATAGAATAAATGGTTCGATAAGATTTCGTTGTAATTCGGTTGTTAAAAAGGTTTTTTTTTTTTAAAGAGAAAGGTAATGCATTTTTTTTTTATACGACCCTCATTCCTACTTGTTTCTCAAATATAAGCTATATGTGTGTTTTATTTGTTGTTTTCTTCACGTTCGGAAATGGCGTTTAACGATCAGCTGGCTCGGAGTGATAAATAAGCTTGATTTATAGAGAAGTAACGAACGATTATAATGTCAGAACATTTTCGGACCACAATCTCTTGCGAATCTTCGATCTCTCGCGTCCCTACGTATCCCTAAAAAAACAAAACAAAATAATAATAAGAAGAATAATAATAAGAATATAAATACATAAAGTTAAGAACAAAAATGAGTCAATAATTTGTACTCTTGTATAAATCTTTATTCGATATCAGGAATATTTTATAAGGAATAAAATTAACAATTTACAGTATTGCACCGTACGTTATGCAAATGAAATTTATGTGTATAAATTAAAATAAAAAAAAATTAAAAAAAAACATATATTAATATAACTATATGATTGTTGGATGAATAAATATGTCGTTTAAACGAATAAAATCAAATTACCTCAAAATAACTTTTTCCATTAGCATAGAAAGACGACCCTCCGAGTGATTGGCCGGAAGCAATGATTTAAGAAGTTCCCTGATTAGAGCTTCGGTCATTCCTGGAGACGTACGTTCAGCCATTTCAAAGGCACCACGTAATTCTTCTATCGCGCCACCATTTTTTCCAACGCCACTACCACCTTCGCCGTTATTATCTCGCGCTGAATACTGGTGTTTTCGTTGAAGCTTGATCATTGATTAAAAAAAAAAAAAAAGAATAAAAACAAAGGAAAAAGAAAGAAACGTTACTTCATGTTTTATTCTATTTTTATAATTGTATTTAATCCATTAGCCGCCAATGTCCTATTTTTGGGACACATTTTCCAATTTTGTTTTCTTTTAATAACTGCAACTTTAAAATGAAATCTAGTTAAAATAATGAAATAGTGCAACGTATTCTATATTTAAATTAAAAAGCAACAACAATTATGGCAAAAAAAAGTTCCAGGTTATTATTATGAAAAGCATTATAGAATAATTTTAATTTTTTTGTGTACTTTTGTTTTGTGGCGGGTAATGGGTTAAAAAAAATGATTTATACATTTACCTCTGATAAGAGGGGTAAAACAACGGTGGAAAGAGCAGCACTTCGTGGGTGTTTAAGTTCTTGCGAACTCCTTGGTCGTTGTTTTTCTTCACCAGATCTATGGTCTACCATTGGTACTACTGGTACATCCGGTTTACTGTTTCTTTTATCTCTCGTAGTAGCATCTCCTCTTTCTCTACCTTCCCTGTCCCTTTCTCTGTCTCTTCCATCCCTATCCCTTTCTCTGCTATCCCGCAATTCCTTTGGCTCTCTCAGAGTTGATTCTCTACTAGAATCACGATAATCTCGTTCGTCTCTTTTCTCTCGGGTGTCGATCGGTGGCGGTGGTGCAGCTTCGTGTGGTCGCAACTATGAAATAATATATTTAATAATAATATATATATATATATATATATATATATATATATATATATATCTATAATAATACTTTTCTCATTAATTTTAAAATCTTTTGATAACACTGTCAACCTACTTCATTCGTTCGTTCTTTCTTTCTTTCTCTTTACTCACACATTAATCAAAATGTATTTAATAATTTACAGAAGAATATTATTATATAAATTACAATAATTAACCCATACTTTTGTATAATTCAAAATACATTAAAAATTCAAATATATAAATAAGTTTGTTGTCATCATCGATCAAATTTCTCGATGATTTTTACTTACTGGTGTCGTGTGCTTGCTTTGTCCGTCACGAAGGGAGTCTCTAGAATCACTTCTATAATGATTCAAGGTCGATTCATTAGGTGGTGATCGTGAAGCACCATTCGCGTGTAGTTTAGTTTGTTGATTATGATTCGAAGACCTATGATTCGGTGTATGAGTTACGGTCAACGAGGTAGGCTGTTCATCCAATGGTAACATGGGTACTACGGACCCTTTAACTCCGTGTGGACCCTTCACCGTCATTATCCATGGCTCATCCATATCACTATCTTGCTTAGATTCTTCCCTAAAAAAGATAAAGAATAACTATTATTTATTTTTCTTTTTTCTCTCTTTTGCAAAACTTTTCGAGATTATTTCAATATCATCAAAATTTTAATTTTTATTTAATAAGAAACAATATTATATCTTTCAAAAAATAAAATAACAACATATTTTAACATTGTAGCAAGTAACTTTTTAGTAAGTAATAAAAATGTTTGTTACAATGGAGATTAATATATAATATATATAATGTAAATATATTATATCAAATATTTATGTAACACGTTAAATAATTTCAAAATATAAAATTTATTATTATTATTATTATTATTATTATTATTATTATTATTATTATTATTATTATTATTATTATTATTATTNATTATTATTATTATTATTATTATTATTATTATTATTATTATTATTATTATTATTATTATTATTATTATTATTGCTTGATAAAAAAGTGTAGGGGATAAGAGAAAAATAATGTAGAAAGTAAATTTTAGTTACGTTAACGTTTCGAAAAGAAAATCTTATTTAAGATGACGATCATCTTTCAAGTAGATAAATATATATATATATATATACTCACGAGTCTGAATTCTCGCTTTCCGTTTCGGACTCCTCGCTGCGTTGTGACTTCCACTTCTTGTACCTGTCAATCAGGTCGATCAAGTACGAGTTCTTCTTCGCCTTCCTTATAAACTGAAACTTTAACAGCTCCTTCGCAGTCGGCCTCTATATGGTAAACAACAAAGAAGATCCAATGAAAAATCGCAGATGATAAATTAATTATATATATATATTGAATGTATATACATATATACAACACATTGACAATGAGTCACAGTAATATTCATACATTGGAAGTATAAACAATCATTGTCAAATTTGTAAATGCAATGAAATTTATTCAATAATTTATTATCTACTGTAGTATTCGAATGTTTTATTATTCTTATGACCACTATCAAAATGCAATAAATTATTAATTATTTAGTATAGCGTATTTATTTGAAATTTGATTTATAGGGGATGTAGGTATATTGGGGAAAAATTTATATTCATCAAGGAATATTGTATATTCTTTTTTCACGAGAATCGACAAAAAGTTTATAAACCCATCGTTGCATTGCAAAAGAGAAATATTGATTGTTTGAAACTAACAATAATATTTAAAAAAAAGAAATAAATTATACTTCTGTAACTTATTGTTTGGAAATTTATAAATAATCGAATAATTTTGATATATTTCATGAAAAGATCAACGTACGTATATTTATTAAATGATTATCGACGTTTTTTTCGTATCGTAGGTGGATTGTAGTAAAATACAAATGAAAATACATATTCATAAAAGACAATATTTAAAAATGGTAGAGAAAAATAAGATGAAGCGTTATCCTAAGAAAATTCGTAAAAGAAAAGTAAACGAGTATTACAACTTGGTTCGTCACGAAATAAAAATCGTCACGAGTATACACAGACACACACGCAAGCGTGCACACACACATTGGTTTTTAGAGAAATTGAATCTCTTCATGGTTTTTTCCCAGTTCGATGCGCGTTCACTTTAATTTCCTTCTGTATTACTATGTTGATCGTTAAACTGCGAGAGAGGAATTTACTTTTCTACTCGATCGAATATTTCTTTACTCTTTATTTTTTTTCCCCTAAAAATATTTTCCAAAAAAAAATTAATATTAATTTATATGAATAAAAAAATAAAAATAAAAATGTTCAACACAAATTACGAGCCAAGAGATCATTGGTTTCTGCATTTTATATATAATAAAAAAATTGTAGGAAGTACGTAAATTTATTCTTTTTCTCTCAGAAATAACTATGTGAGAAATATTTTATATACAATAAAATAAAAATACTTTATATATTCGGTATTTACAAGTTCATTATGTTATAATATATTTAAAATATAAACATACTATTATATTATAATAAAAATGTAAGCATATTATTATATTATAATATAATATAATAACATTATAGTATATTTCCTATATAAATGATTATGATTGTAAAAAATACGTGTAATGTTTATTTTTTTTTTTTTAAATAATATGTAATAAAAAAAACAAAAAAACCCCCCAAAATACGTATATTTTAAAATTATTGTCCAAAATGTCAATAGATACGAACACAATTAGAATCTTTTACGAAAAATTAAAACAATTTTGAATTGATCATTTAATTGAATCGTACATTTTGAAATATTTATCGGAAAAGTGATTTTGAAGAAAGGTAAAAGAAGATGAAAATTAGTACTTACATTTTCGGGATCCTTGTTTAAGCACGCCTCGACGAATTCTTTGAATTGTTTTGTATAATTTCCAGTTAATTGAGGTGGATTATTTTTCGGTATAAGGAAAAGGACCCTCATAGGATGTAGTTCGCTGTTGGGAGGTTCACCTTTTGCCAGTTCGATCGCCGTAATGCCAAGGGACCAAATGTCAGCCTGCGAGGAAGAAGAAAAGATTTTTTTTCTTTTTAATTTTACTTCTACGTTACCTTTGCAAGGTGTTAACGAAGGTGTTAACCAGTGGTTCCCAAAGTGGGCGATGTCAAGCGGTCCAGGGGAACGATGACGACAATAAGTGAACTTTGGGGGTGGGGGAAATGAACTACTAAAAAGGAAAAATGTCATATATTGGCTGCTATACAACGCCAATAGTAGTAAAATATTAGAAAAAATTCCCTTTTTAAGGCTTTTTTGTTTTCTTATCTTCGCGCCTGGAGAGCTTGGTGAGCGATGAAAGCGGTTCAGGGGAGCGATTGACCCGAACTTAGCTGGTGTGCATTAAAAAAAGGGCATGGAGTTGTGGTTGTGGTGGCAAATAGGAAAATAGCAAAATAGCAATTTAGGAAGCAATTTTTCAGTTTTTCAGGAAAGGGGGCGATAGGACTAAAAAGTTTGGGAACCCCTGGTATTAACGACTAAGCGAACGTATTTCTTAGAAGTAACGGAACTAGTTAAAACTCTTGCCTATATTGCTACGAGAATAATAATCGTTTTAAATAATATAAAAATTGTTTATTAAACGAACAACCATCAAGGAATATTATTATTATTATATCATTTTATTACTATTTTATTTTATAAACTTTATAAATTTTTTTAAGCAACGAGCAGATAATAAATAATCAATTAATAATTATTTGCGATGTAATTTGTAAAGAAAAGAAAAGAAAATTAAAAATAATTAAACTACGTTCTCATTGAATTAGTATTTGCGTTTGTTTTCCCTTTCTTATTTCCAGACTGTATAAATTTGAACACATGCTAGGTTCGTTAGATTTAATTTATCCAACATAAACAATCCAATTCCAAATAAACTATCTGTCCGGAGAAAAAGGTCTTCGGTAAATTTTGGCCTTCACGATAAATAAATTATTTTAATCAATTTAGTAGAGTGTACAAATCTTTACAATCGGAGGAATAACAAATATTAGTTGTATTTTGTTTTTGTATTGATGATAAAATTAATAATACAAAATAACAAAATATTATCACCCACCGTCATCACATTTTCTATTAAATTAAAACTAACTTACTTTAGAATCGTAAGCAGATTGCTTAATAACTTCCGGTGCCATCCAAAAAGGAGTACCAACGAAGGTATTACGTTTGCTCGTGGTATTAGTAAGTTGGCCAGCAACACCAAAATCCGCCAATTTGACGTCACCCATTTCGCTGAGCAGAACGTTTGCAGCTGAAAATTCAGATTAACTAAATCAATTGATTGCCAGTATCAACGTAATATGTATAATAGATTTTTGTTGTTTTATTTTAACTAAAAAACAAATCACATATTCATTCTTCTTCCTTTTTCTTTTTTTGTTCGTTTATTTAATCCTTTATACTCGAAATTATAACGATATTTATTTAAGTATTATTTGGGTAATATCGTTTCATATATGATTTAACAATACATAAAAATATATTATTTCAAGCAAAAAAAAATCAACAATATATGCGTGCAAAACAATTACTAATTTTAAATACGCCGTTTACATGAATTGTTATGTAAATGCTTCTTCGAAGATAGTTTTGAATTCGACAGTCATGAGAATAGGAATATTATTTTCGAAGTTACGTAAGAATAAGAAAAGGATGGAATAAGATTGAATTCAAATGAAAAATTAATAAGATTTTTCGTCGATGAAATAGCCGGTCATTTTATATCTCATGTCAGATTCACGAGATCAAGTTTTTGTTTTTACTTGATTGAATGAGATGTAATATGTATTGATAGTAGGAGTTAAGAAATAATTGCAAGGTTTCACTCTGATTGAATAAAACTTGACGAAAGACACCAAATCACATATGTGCCCATAATTATGAAAATAATCTAAGTTAAAATTAAAAGAAAATAAATTTATTGGTTATTTCATATCACATTATTTTAAACTAACTTAATTCAATGTAATTTTCATGATATTGTCAAAATGAACCGTTAGATAGTGTTTGTTATTTCAATATTATATAAAATTCATTTAGTATTCAAATGTAATTCTTTAATCTTTTGCACTCGAAGTTTTTTTTCATTCATATTATCAGCAACTTCATTTCGATAGAAAGATCATATTCACATATTATAAGGAAATTATATATGCGCATTAAAAGAAAAGTATAGTTGATATGTTGTAGATTAAATTAAATTTGCTATATTTTTTTATTTTTTTTTTATTTTTTTTTTTATTTTCTTCATTGTCTCCATAGCGGAGCCCTTGAGTGCAAAGGGCTATGCATCTAAAAAAATATATGACTTTGACCACTTTCATAATTATGGGCACATAGAGTAACATGGAAATACTTGCCCCGACACAAGTCAAGGATACATTTTAAAGATTTTTTTTGTAAAATACCATACAAAGAAAAGACAATACAAAGCTTAATGTTTAACAAATGTTCTTCTTCTTCTTCTTCGAAGTATAATATAAATATAAAAATTTTATAAACGTTAAATTGCGTGTGCAGTCATTTGAAGATAATCGTAGAAGAAATTCAACTAATATGCGGAAAATTGTCTCGAGTTGTTGTTATTGTTGTTGTTGGTGTTTCGGTCAAACGAAAAAAGATTTTCGTCGAGAGTGCAAAGGGTTAATATAAGTTAGTTAGTTATTATTATTATTATATATTAATACCACACGAATAAAACAAGGGGAGAAGTGAGGTGAGGGAAAATTGTCCATAATAATCTCTCAGAGGAAAAATACTTACCTTTTATATCACGATGAAGTTTACGTTCACTGTGAAGATAATCCAATCCCTTGAGCACTTCACGTAATATTACCGCAATGTGCATTTCTTCGAAGCTGCCGGCCTTCATCAAGTCCAAAGCCGAACCGCCACCCAAATATTCCATGATAATCCATAATTTGGTACCCTGAAAAAAAAAAAACAAAAAGAAAAAAAAATCAGAAATAAATTTCAAAAAAAAGTTACACAAGAATTTTCTTTTTTCTTTTTTTGTTTCAAAAAGTGATTTCTTTTTTATTTCGGTAAATTACATTAATAATATTGAAGCGTGTGTGTGTGTGTGTGTGTGTGTGTGTATTTGGGACAGTAGCCAATTAGCAGAAACGTTCCTATTTGGTACTTTATTTTCGTCTTGACCTTCCTTCTTCAAATAAACTCCACGGACTTCGTACTCCACCGATGTTATTAAAATTTTGCTAACGCAAGAATTATTCTCAATTTTATTCACGTAAGAAAAGCTCACAAGCTTATATTCTTTTAAAGTTATTTTTATTTCATTTTTCTTTGATTTTTTTTCAACTTTCACGTTCATTAAAAAAATTTGTACGTATTTAATAAAAAAAGAAAAAGGTAATAATCGATCGATAAATTTGTTCGAGCGACAAAAAAAAAACAAATGAGGCAAGAAAGTAAAATTCTTTCGAACCCCTTCTTACGTGTCACCACTTTTTGGTGATGGTGGTGGGAAGGGGGTGGTAAGAAAAAAATTCATCGTTCGAAGTGATAAATTGAAAATATTCGTTCACGTACTATTAGATTAGATGAAATTTGTTGAGATATAATAATTATTCACGACGAAGTGGATTTAACAACATTTTGTACGGGACGTTAAACTTTTATAATTATATCCGATGACCAATCGGTGTATCTTACATTAGTCTTTGTTCATCGGCGAGATGACAAGGTTTAACAGTAAGCAAGAAAGAAAAAGAGAGAGAGAGGAAGGGAGAGAGAGAGATGGAGAGAGAGAGATGGAGAGAGAGAGAGAAAGGGAGAGAGAGAGAGAAAGGGAGAGAGAGAGAGAAAGAGAGAGAGAGAGAGAGTATCTGACGTAGGGATTATCTTATAAATTTGATCTATGTATATAAGATGGTAGGTATGTGCTGTATACAACAACACTGCTACACAACAATGATAATATCGTTGATGAATTATCGTTCGTTAATAATCGCTGAATCGAGTCAGTGGTCCGTACAAGGATACTCAGGATCTTCGCACTTTGATCACTGAACATTGTTCATATACATGTACATTCATATATATATAAACAGATTCATTCGATCTACGTGAGAAACCTGATAGATTATCATCAGCGTTTCTCAACCTATTAGCTGCGAATGATAATTATTACTTTATGTTTCATTGTTCAGCTAATAAATGAATAAATTTAAAAGTGGTCTTTTTTTTTATTTAGAAGGTTCTTTTGATAATTCATAATGATAGAAGTATCAATATAGTTCGATTGAAAGTTGATAAGTGAACGAGTTTTTTAATTGATTGTAAAAATTTATAGGAAAGAATATTAAATTTAGTAGAGTGATGTATATTTGTTCTATATATTCAAGCTTTTGTTACTCGTCGAATATTTGAACATTTCGTAATATTCCGTAATGTAAGATGAATAAAAAATATTTGAGTATTTAACACTAGCTATTTAAATATTTCCTTTGATTTTGTAATATTCTCAGTATTCGAGATCGAAATAATTAACAAGTAAAAAGTAGGTTTTAAGTCACGCATTAAACAACGGCACGCCCATCTATTACAGGTGTGCAGGTATAGGTGGCGAAAAAAAGGATAGATTTTCAAGTACAGATAACACCCACTCCTATAACACTATAGATGGGTTTCTAGAAAAATACCATGTTATGTATGAAACCCACAATTTATATGATAACTCAGAGTTCTATTATACCATCTTGTTATTATTTTAAGATAATTTAATATTTTAAATGTGTTAAATAAAAATCATGTTATACAGTATATATGAGGCGTTTATTTTGAAAGTGGCAAAATCCGTTTTCCAAAAAATTCAAATTATCTACCATAATAGTTACATTTTTACATGATCTTTTCATTGTGAGAGAAGACAGTTGTTACTAATATAAATATTTAAATTCATTAAGATTTGTTAACGCGAAAATTTTTTGATTAATGAAGTGATGAAAAAGTTTATTTTGAAAGTGGCCTAAAGTCCAATCATAGCCATCAAAAACATATTATTTCTTAAATAATATTAATTATGCTAATTGGGATGATAAATTTGACACTTTTAGAAACCGAAAAATATTATTCTACTATGTCATATCTGTTATCTATATTTTTAAATTTAATTCAATGCAAACCCTTCAATATTCCAATTCGATTATAAATAGACTTAGGCCACTTTCAAAATAAACGGCTCGTATATAAAAGTTTGTAGTACAAAGGTTTGTAACAATTTTCTTATCGTATTAAAATGAAATTGTGTTTATCGGGATGCCATGTTGAAAAAGGGTTGTATCTGTACATCGGTTACGTTGGTTCTCATACTTGATCCTACCCTTTCTTACCCCCCATCCTACCCTATCATTATCATCGTTTTTTTCGCCTTTCATATACAGCATTTACTTTCTCTTGTTATGTAGGTAACCATCGTCAAAGTCATTCACTTAAAACTTGCTGCTAGAGATAACTTACGAGAGTTCGTTGAACCTCATCTCGAATATCAACTCTTCTTTACCGAAAAGGAAAGACTGCTTTTCTTGGTTAACCCTTTATACTTTTTCAAGAAGGTGGAGAACGAGGAGGAAGAGGAGAATGCAGGAGAAGCGGTAAAGAACGGAAAGATCAGAGACCTCTTTTTCTAAACCGCAAAACGTGTTTTCTCTGCTATATACTATATAGTGACTGCTTTCAAATGATTTTATGTTAAAAATAATAATCTTATTGTAAACGAGACAAAAAAAAGAAAAAAAAAAGCAACGAAGAACTGAAATTAACTTTACTCTGCCCTTTATTTTTCTTGCAATAATAGAATTTTTCTATTCAGAGATTTGATTTTATTCTTTTTGGATAATTATTAAACGTATTTTTTTTCCTTTCTAAATTTTGTAGTATGACAATCATAATACGTAAAGTTACTTTTTATCTTCCTCACTTTCTATTGGCAAGTAATGAGTGGAAGGGGAAAATTATGTAAAAATAAATGATTCATATGTTATGGAAATTGATTTAAAAAAAAAATAAAATAAGGAAAAAGACGTCAAAAAGCGAACGATTTGTGAAACGACAAAAAAAATAGAGAGAGAAAGAGAGAGAGAGAGAGAGAGAGAGAAAGAAACAAAAGAAAAGGGTAAAGGGGTAAAAAAAAACAAGCAAAGAAAAAAAGGGAGACAAAATCGTTCAACAACCGGATGATTAATGATGCGAGCTGATTTTGTTATTTTTTTGTATTTTTTCTTTTTTCTTATTATTATCTTTATTTTTTGTTCTTCTTCGTGTCTTTTTGTTCGTGCGTTTCGCAAAATGGCAGGAGTGCCGTTGGCAGTGATGGACGACAGCAACGAAATTAATCTTGGCTCAAGCGTTATATTCCAAAGCTTCGTTTCAAAGTCATGTATGTGTTTTGTGTATGTAGGCGGAATAGGTATTACTACTATTACTACTCCTACTACTACTACTACTACTACTACTACTACTACTACTACTACTACTATTACACATACGTATGCTACTTCAACTAAACCCCCTCCCCTCTCGACATTCTGTCACCATTTTTTTCCATTTATTTATCTTCTTCTCTTTTATTTGATTCGATTTTTTTCCTTTATTCTTTTTCAACTGCACGTATTGCACCAACCGAAACGTAACTTTATTTGCAATGTTAGAACAACGTTAAATTAAATATCGATGATATCGTATCGACAGATTTTTCAAATGGTTTTAAATTGTTTAAAAAAAAAAAAAAAAAGTAAAAGTCATGTTTCCGATCTCTCCAAATCCGTTCATTGATCCATTTTTTTTTTAATAAAAAGAATAAATTATAATCAAAACTATAATCGTTAAGAAATAAATTTGAAATTTGAAGATATTTATTATCTTCAAATAAAAATTATTATAAATAATTTAGCGTAAGTATATTTAAGTTTTTTTTTCACCCCTATAATATTTGTTTGTATTTCTAATTTATTTGTTTTTTTTTTTTAAATACATAAATACTTAATAATTAATAATTATCTTAAAATATTAATAATTATCAGGAATAAAGTCATTATTAGTACGTAATTGTTTTGTTTAACGTTGATGTGTATGTTATTATTAGAAAGATTAATTGCGAGTATCATCATTACGTGGATGAGTTGAATTACTGTAATAATTAACCTCATAAATAACTTAACGATAATGACACCTATTCGTTGGTATTATATTTATTATTATTATTATTATTATTATTATTATTATTATTATTATTATTATTACAACATTGAAATTATTTCGTAATAGATAATGCTGTTAAAAAAATGTCTAATATAATATATGGAATGACATATAATTTATATCGTCTTATCGGGATTGTAATGTTTGGCAACAGTGAAAGTATTATACTTAATCGAGCGTAAATGCTATGAGGAAGCGTTAATAGGGAGAAAGAGGAAGATGAAAAAAAAAGAAAAACGATTTAGCTAGCAGCAGATATAGAAATACATGCACACACACATATACACATAAACACACATACAAAAAAAAGATGAAAAGACAGAAACACGAGTGAGATAACACACCAGAAGTTAAATCTATTCTTGGGCTTTCTCAAATGCGATGTTCGAGTCATTAGGAAATTGGCCAACTAATAATACTACACTCATGTGTAGTACTATAAACTACTATACACGGGGTGAGATATTAAATTTGGTGGAAAAATAATTTATTACGGTTTAATAATTAATTTTGATTTAAAAAAAAAACGACTTTCGTTGTTTTAACTCTTTGAAAAGCTATTTTAACGGTATTCAAAGTTTTCCCTAAACTTTCCGGGATGCGTAAATGTGCATATATATTGCACTCTATGACGAAAAACTTAATTGAATTATTATTATTACATTTTTGAAGTCACTTCTTTAGAATAAGGGTGATTTGAAAAATTGA